CAATACTGTTCCATTCCTGATCCCAGAGTGACCGTTGTCTGCATCACTCAAGGCGATTACGTCGGTGTTCTCGAGTTAAAGGGTGGAGCCAGTGTGGCCGGTATGAAAACAAGCCAAAACTTCTCATTCGTCGGTAAACACTTCGCGTGCCAATAGGTCTTCCGTGTTCTGCAAACCATTCATTTGCAATGGACCTGGTAGTGGAGAAACGGTCCCTTAAGGCCAATAATCTTAGGCGGCGATCTTCACGGTCTGTTGTTCTACGGCGGCGTCCAGTGCACCTTGCTCTTTGCGTACGGCCTTCTCGAAGCCATGCCTGACAACACCTAACCACAGTGTCTACACTTCTTTGCACTCTAACTGCAATTGCCCGAAAAGAAAGTCCAGCTTCCCGAAGTCCCACTATACGGCCCCTATCAAACTCACTAAGTTGACGAAATCGTACAGGTCTCCGTACTCTAGGCATCGTAACCGATCGTAAAGGATGTCAAGAACCAAAATCCGCCAACGTTGATTCTTTACTGCGGCTGAAATATTCATTTTTAGAGCGTTATTGAATTAAAAAAAAGCAGTATAAAAACCGGAATGTCCAACTGAGAAGGCTGAAAATTCTTTCACTTGTTATTTACAGTAAGATAAATACATTCACCAACTTTTATTAAAATAAAACCATTTAAACTGAGTGTTCGGATTTATATGTCACTTAGCCAGGTGATTTGATGTTCGTAATGGTTAATTTAATAATTTTCATAATTCATATTTACCAGATACGTATTTATATTACAATTATTTATTTTATAGTATCAGAGTATTACCGGATCATGACCTTTTGCAAATATGTTGATATTTAATATTCACTTCAGCCTGGAGGCCGGTGTGGCATAGAGTGGGATCGATATTTCAACAACGACAGTCCACGCATACTTCACGCATAGTTGGCTTTGCGAAACATTTCAGATGAATAATTGTTATATAGCCGCAGAATCAGGTTATGCTGTACAAGTTTTTCATATCAATGAATTCCACGGGAGATTTACTGAATGGTCAAGAATAAATTGACTAAAATGTTAATTTTACGACAAATATGCCTAGAATTCTAAACGGTTTGCCGAGTTATTTAATGAGGATTTCAGATACACGAATATTGCAAAAGGCGGTAATTGAATTATTGCACCATGCCAAATGCTTTGTCTCCATATCTAAAAACGAAGAATGAACTGACCCGTTAGGCAAGTAAATGTTGAGAATGGCCACCATGACTCTCCATGCAATAATAAAGATTTTGCTCAAAACGTTGCCGCACATTTTGCAATATTCGAGGAGTAATTTGAAGGCACTCATTCACAATTCTTTGTCGCAGGTCTTCTAATGATGTTGGCTGAGTAGCATATATTTTGCTTTTTAAATGACCCCGCATAAAGAAATCCAAAGGTGATAAATCTGGCGATCTTGGGGGCCATTCAATGGCACCTCTTCTACCAATCCATCGATCTGGAAACGTCTGATATAATTATTGTCGAACACGTAATGCGTAATGTGGTGGGGCACCAGTCTGTTGGAACATCAACCGCCGATCATTCTGATTTTCAATTATGGCTGTTAATGCAGGATCTATGGCGTCTTCCAGTAGCTCTAAATACATTTCACCGGTCAAATTTCCAGGTCAGAAAAAAGAACCAACTAAATGATCGCCAAAAATACCAGCCCAAACATTTAATTTTTGTAGCTGCTGTGTATGAACCTCAGGATAAATTCTGGGATTAAAATCGGACCAATATCGGCAGTTATGACGATTTACTACGCCATTTAAGAAAAAGGAACATTCGTCGGAAAAGCAAGTATTGAATAGAAAATGTTCATCGTTTATAATTCGTTCACTCATATCTTCACAAAATTGTAATCGCCGATCAAAATCGTCTTCATTAAGTCAGGTGAATTTTATACGGATAAAAACTGTGGGCCTTTAGAATCCGTTGGACAGTACGTCGACTAACACCACACACAATTTGCGGGTACTTAACGTAGGATTTACATAAACTTGCCCTAGAATCCCCACTTCAATTGCTTCGTTCCTTATAGGATTTTCAATGTTTCGTTTTTTATTGGTGACTGACCCAGTTTCCCGAAATTTAGCTACAAGTTCTAGAACATTTTTTCGGTGCACGTTACTGATCTCATGTCGCTCATTAAATATTTCTGCTGTTCTATTAGCGCATTGATTATTTCCGAAAAATATTTCGATAATTTCCACTCTTTCTGTTGTGGAATATACCATGGTTAATTTACGTAATAAAGCGTTACAATTTATTTTAGCAACAAATTTTGGTCAAATCAATCGCAAACTATGTACTAAATTCCTATTTAAAATATGTACGAGATATTTCCTTATCTTTCTTCAAGAAATAACTTTTTTGCCACAAGAAAACGCTCCAATAGCTATTTTCAATAACAAAATGATAAACAAACCATAGGCGTAGTGAAGAAAAGCATTTACTTATTAAGTAAATTCTTTTAGTCAACTTTCTTCTGAAAGTAGTACAAACTAATCTGATGTACCTATTAAAGTCTACTTTAAGCTTTAAATCTATAAATCTTCGAAACTACTGAACTGACGCTCATGTATTTTACATCATTATAAAAGGAATTGAAAGACCTTTAAAATAAGGTATCACTCGACCCCCCTTTCCACTTAAGATTTTAGGGTTGGTGTCACCCCCGCCCAGGGGGCTGCAAGTGTTAACGTGATTTTTTGCCAAACTTGTGTCCCCCTTGAAAACAAAATCGACGGGTCTTTTTTGCACAACACGCGCTATCTAACCACCCCCGTTGTAACTTGAAACTGTCAGGAAGAAATTCCATCTGTCCCCGCTCCATTCGCTACTGGATCTCGCGACAACATGTTTAAAGTTGTGATTAAATGACGTGCAGCCTAATATGCTTGACAGTGACAAATACTACCACAAAACATACAAAACACGATAATTCAGGCATAAAAACAACATTGCCATATCAACGGTTTATGGATTGATAACCAGAAGATGAAAAACGAAACCACACATAAAGGATATTTTCGCGAGTCCACGGTGAAGCACAGTGCACTACCGGGAACAGATACTCAAATTTTCGCGGAAAGGGGAAGACGGATGTGACGTCGTCCGAATGTCAAAAAATCACGTGGTACGGGTACCCGCCTAACATCTGTGAGGTGACAGGTCTTATGTCAATGTCATTTAAAAAACAGGCATCTCAATTGAAAATTTGTCTTCGCAGTGCTGAAAATTGTGTTTAATGATTGAATCATAAATGGAGGAACACGTCCACCTGATTTTAAATGACGAGGGAGAAGGTCATCGAAGATATATGAATCGCACTTGGCATATCAAATGATTGATTTTATTGATAGATATATATATACAGGGTGACTTTGAAGTTGAGTTATTAATTTTCAGATAATGATTGTAGAAGGAAGATAAACCAAAATATGTGTGTAAAAATAAAAAAAATTAAAAAAAATTTTACCTTGTTTTATAAAGTATCCTCCCGACAAGTATTTCAGTGCGGACCTGTATTTGATCGTGAGGTCTTGGAGCACCGGCCTGCCGTCCATATGTGAGGTCTTAAGTCAAATTATTCACAAACCCGTTGTACTACATTAACAAAGGCACGAGGGGTTGGTTGCACTCGATTGGGAAACCGATCCGCATAAACATGTGCCATTTTTTATTTCGTTTGAGCCACGCAACAGAAACCACTATCCACTACCGACTGACACTGACTGTATACAACTGAATGAAATAATTGTAAAAACATCGTTCCAAATTCTTTCGCTTTTTTGTTTCCGATGCGATGAACCGATAAGGCGAATTATATCCGTTGTCGCCAAACACGAGCACATAATATTATTATTGAGACAGGGCGGTACTCAAACTTCCAAAGGGCTATAACTTTGTTACTTTAATTTTACCAGAAAAATGGTAAAGGAAAAAAACATTTCTTTTGATCAGATCTACTCACTGTTAAAATAAATGACTCAACTATATATATATACAGGGTGACTTTGAAGTTGAGTCATTAATTTTCAGATAATGATTGTAGAAGGAAGATAAACCAAAATATGTGTGTAAAAATAAAAAAAAAATGTTACCTTGTTTAATAAAGTATCCTCCCGACAAGTATTTCAGTGCGGACCTGTATTTGATCGTGCGGTCTTGGAGCAGCATGCCCTCACCTGTGAGGTCTTAAGTCACCTGATTCACGAGCCCTTTGTACTACATTAACAAAGGCACGAGTGGTTGGTTGCACTCGATTGGGAAACCGATTCGCATAAATCCGTGATGCATCCGGGAGCATTTTGTAAAGACTGCCCCCCCGTAAATAAGAATCATGTCCACAAGTTCAGCATTTTCGTAAACATGTGCCATTTTTTATTTCGTTTGAACCACGCAACACACTACTATTCACTTACGCGTTATCGACTGACGAAAAACATCGTGATAAACGTTTCAAATTCTTTCGCTTTTTTGTTTCCGATGCGATGAACCGGTCAGGCGGATTATATCCGTTGACGCCAAACACGAGCATATAATAGGCAGGGGGTACTCAAACTTCCAAAGGGCTATAACTTTGTTACTTTAATTTTACCAGAAAAATGGTAAAGGAAAAAAACATTTCTTTTGATCAGATCTACTCACTGTTAAAATAAATGACTCAACTTCGAAGTCACCCTGTATATATAAAAACATTTTGGGCAACATGCGCCATCTAACCACTCCCGGTGTAACTTGAAGCTGTCAAAACTTCGAGAGGAAGGGGAAATTCCATTTGCTCCCGCTCCGGTTCACTACGGGATCTCGCGAAAAAATCTCTATAGTTAACTTCCAAGTCAAAGTTAACCAGCAATTGAAAAACTGGGCCTTACCGTTTCCGGGATCCCAATGATTTAGGTCAAATTTGAACCACCCGGTATATTTGAAATTCTTCTTAGTAGTCAAACGTCAAAACGTCAAACATTTGTCAGAGTACATCCGTCACATCTCAGTTGACTTCTTCAGATCTTTTTAGTTTACTTTCAGGGACAGATCAACTAAAAATGACTACGAAAGAACTATTACTGAGCCCTGTTGCGGAACCAGCAAAAGATGCCGGAGACCGAATCACAGTTGTAGGTGTGGGAGCTGTAGGAATGGCATGCGCCTTCAGCATTCTCTCTCAGGGATACTCAAGTGACATAGTTCTGATAGACGTGGTGGAAGAAAAGCTTAAAGGAGAAATGATGGACCTGCAGCATGGCTCGTTGTTCCTGAGGAATCCTAGAATAAACGCTAGTACAGACTACGCTGCATCAGCCGGTTCGAAGATCTGCATAGTGACAGCCGGGGCGCGACAACAAGAGGGCGAAACCAGGCTGGATCTAGTACAACGCAACACGGACATCATGAAACACATCATCCCCCCGTTGGTGAAACACTCACCCGATACTATCCTGTTGATCGTGAGCAACCCTTGCGATATCCTGTGCTACGTCGCATGGAAGCTCAGCGGCCTGCCTCAGAACAGAGTCATCGGCTCAGGCACCAACCTGGATACCTCCCGGTTCAGGTTCCTGATCGCAAGCAGACTGGGTATCGCGCCGACCAGTGTGCATGCTTGGATCATCGGCGAGCACGGAGACAGCAGCGTGCCCGTATGGTCCGGTGTAAATGTAGCGGGAGTGAGACTGCGTGATATCAACCCAGATATTGGAACCGATCACGATAAAGAAAATTGGAAAGAACTACACGAAAAAGTAGTCAGTGCAGCGTATGAGGTGATCAAATGCAAAGGATACACTAACTGGGCTATAGGTCTATCTGTGTCCGCTCTGGTCTACACGATGCTGAAAAATATAAATGGTGTCCACGCTGTATCCACGTATGTCAGGGGTTTGCATGAAGGCTTAGACTATGAAGTGTTTCTGTCTGTACCGTGCTCGTTAGGCAAGAACGGTATTACCAATGTCATGAAACAAAACCTGACCCCGAGCGAACGATGCTCTCTAAAATTCTCAGCTTCTGCTATGGCGCAAGTTCAGCAAGGAATCAAGTTCTAGCCTGAAACTCATAACTTTGTTTTTCTGAAAATCTAAGATGTGATAGATGAACTAGGTCTGTTCAATAAAGACATCATCTAGTTTGAAAAAAATACGTCTCAATACTGCACAAAGTTAGATCCTTATCGTTCCTACAATTGTAGGGCGCGTTTATGGCCTCCTTGATTGTCATAGTTTTCTACTTTTCCGTGTCAGAGGTTATGTCACAAATATCTATTTGCATCAAATTGTGCATGCTTTTGATTTATATCATGTTTATCAGCCTGAAATTTCATACAATTTAAAAAGAAAACATATCTTCACAATAGGATACGCTGACGCTGACACAGAATAGGTGCAATCTACAATTGTATGTGGTTGAATATCCTTAAAAAAAGATCTATCCGATTTGGCAACATCGTATCCTTCATTTGCTTGGACTGCTCCATGTTGTCAAATCCAATGTTTTTCAATCAAGTTTAAGAGAAATCCCTCGTAGCTTGGATAGGCATGGTATAAGCCAGAAGACAGACCTGTTGAAAATTGAGGTTCTCCCAGGGGATGGAAATATTCGCACCGACTGAGTATCATAAAGCCTACCTTATCCAATGATACGTAGATCGCAAAGCCTGACTTCTGGCTACTGATCTTCTTACCGTAGGATTTGACTTTGACTACTTGAGATTGAAGATTTTGCTTATATATCTTATTTTAAATTGTTCAACATTTGAATGTTCATGCAAAAATTCAATATGTAGACTTTCAGTGAATTTCTTCGATGAGCGCGTGACAACATCGCTTACAGTTCTCTACTGCCTTCCAGTTTGGAACCGAACTATAGTTAATATTCTCCTACCCAACAGATGGACCAGGATTTTTTTATCCGTGGTTGCAGTTTCAACGTTCAAGTCGAAGATTGCATAGCAATTAACCGCTGTGTTACGACAACAGTTCTGGATGGGTTTGGAGTTTTTGGCGATGGACAAGTATGACGTATCTGGTACATTAAAAAATCAGCAGGTAAACTCATACTCGCTTGTCGATTTGGAGATCTATAAGTCCTTTTGGGAGCGGGAATGTCAGGGATAGTTTTGCGTCGTTAAATTTCTGAAAAGAGGGCTGCGACTAACAAGCAAAAAGGTCTTGTGATGTCATCCTGATGATATTCGTAGAGCAACAAATCTCGTCCATGAAATGAGAAATGCACTCCATGAATTCCGTAATGAGCAGTGGAGCGACTTTCTGGCGGGGATGCTTGAATCAAGTATTCCTCTCTGGAAAGTGGCAAAATCGCTCAGAAGCGGAAGGCAAGAACAACTCACATATTCATGGTCCTGGAGGCATAGTTTTCAGGACTGCGGATAAAGTGGAGATTTTTGCTGACATCATGGAAAGGCAGTTCTCTCTCAATTATGATCTGGACAATGACCTTGACGAGGAACGACAAATTGTCAGATCTGTCCGGAGATATTTCAGAGCGAATGGTGACAACATCGTCAGTGCTAACATCGGTGACTTCTTTTCAGAAGATTCTTCTACGGAAGACTCTTCAGATGAATCTCAGTATAGCACATCAACGGAATCCGTTCTGCACACCAAGGACCTAAAGGTGCGTAAACCAAATTACCAACAAAGCTCTGAAGTTGCTTTCGCTCAAGGCTTTGACTTATCTGGTGGCAATAATCAACTCATTACTTTCTTAAAGCGTGGAAGATCGCTGAAGTCATCATGATCCCAAAGAAGGCAGGTTCGATATTCCCTCAGGATTACCGTCCCATTAGCCTGCTGTCAGTTCCTTCTAAGCTCGCTGAGAAGGTGATTTATCGTCACCTTGAGAATTTCTCGTCAGATCACCATGTGATTCCTGACGTGCAATTTGGCTGAACAAAAGTACTGGTATCTTGCTTTCAGATGTATCAAAGGCATTTGACAAGGTGTGGGTATAAGCTCGTCCAAAACGGTTTTCCATTTTGGCTTCTAAAACTGTTGAAATCTTTCCTAGAAGGAAGGAAGTTTCGGATCAAAATTAACAGTGCGTTGTCAACAACACGGCCCGTAAGAGCCGGTGTTCCTCAGGGTTCGGTCTTAGGACCAATCCTTTCGTCACTTTATATACATGACGTCCCTTGCCCCAGCAACTGTGTGAAGTCTATCTCTATGGTGATGACACTGCACTGCTAGCTCAGTCTTGTTCCGGTAACCTGGTTCACTACAGGCTGCAGAGTGCGGTGGAGGAAGTATTGGAGTGGGCGGATAGGCGCTTGATCAAAATTAATACTTCGAAAACGCAGGCAATCTATTGTACTAAAAAATGTCACGGTGCCCCCTCAGAGATATCAGTGAATGGAACTCGTATACCATGGGCACAATCTGTCAGGTACCTTGGACTCATCATTGACAAGGGGTTGACCTGGCAGAAACATATTGACATTTGAAAACAAAATTAGAAATTACCTTTCGGCAGCTTTATCCTTTGTTGTGCAGAAATTCAAAATTAAGTTTGATCAACAAGATTCGGTTATATAAAATGGTTATAAGACCCGCATGCGCGGCTTGGTATTTTCTTGCCAAGACGCACATGCAGAGACTGCAAGTCCTGCAAAACAGAATCCTACACACAATCACTAACGCCCCTTGGTACATGTCAAGTGAGACCATTCACAGCGATCTTGATATCCCATATCTAAGGGATTATGTAAAACAACAGGCACAGCGGCGTTATAATCAAGCCGAATCGCACAGCTACCCTCTGTTGCGCGATTCAGTAGACTACACTGTCGAGCAAGTTCGCAAACATTCCAGGCCGCCCCTCGCACTGTGATCAAAATTAAATTGTGAATTCAGACCAGCCAGAACTATTTCAGTATATAAAACCGATCAAAATTATTTTTTGGTGTTAGAAAATTATTCGAGTAGTCAAAGCAATAATGCTTTTTTTATATTCCAACTACCACGAAGGCCTAAGGCCTAAACACCCATTGGGTACCGTGGGGCTATAGGGGGATACAGGAGAAAGGGGAAACGCCACACGGACTCTGACGAGGGAACACGTGTGCATGCAACATGCACACATTTTGGCTCCGCCTACGAGATCCGCCGGGTGGTACCTCTACGTTCGACAGTCAGAGACCGTCTACCACCTACGGACAATCACAACATCCATAGCCAAGAGAAAAATTTCTCCTGGGACGGGACTCGAACCCGCACAGCGCACGGCGATCAGGAGACCGAAGAGTCTACTACTGCGGCCACCGCTGCTGCCTGCTTAAGCTATTTCAAATGATTTACTTCTTTTCTTGCTCTATTTCTTCCTTCCTTTCTTTCCTTTTTTCCCTTTTCCTCATAAACATGTTTCGTATCTGGGTAGCCAGACCTGACTAACAGACCGACGAGACTTTTAAATAAGAGCAAAGGTCCACCGGACCGCTTAGCTCAATTTCAGCTGGTTACGGACCTTTCAGGCTATTGTAGTAACATACTGTATAGGAATATGAAATTAAAAAAAAAACAAACGGAGTGTCATCTGGAAGACAGATAAATGAAATATTTTCAAAAGTGCCATGTACTGAAGAATGTCACCGTTGTGACCGAAACTACATTAAAGAAGAATTTCAAAGATATGTGGTTTCATTGGCAAGACAGACATGGGGGTTATCGATATGAAAACCACAGGATAAGTTTCAGATGTTACATTAACGGTTACCATGTTTTAGTGTAATCGATGAGGCACGATAGATTCGTGTGATACTTTACAATGCCGGGATTCAGATTCAGTAAAACGGTAACGATCTTTGCCTTGATTCAACCGTTATTTTTTCACATTTCTACTAAGAAAAGGTCATTTTTTTTTAAATGGGCAAGAAAATATCATATTCAATCTATCCAAATGGCTCAAAGAGTGAAAATCACCAAATGTTCGTTACAATTTATTAAATGAATGTTTCGATATTTACTATGGTAGTTTTAATTGCTGCTGCTCTAAATAGCTACACTTTGGTAGGTTTTTGAGCCATGAGCTCCTTTTTCTACCTGGATCTGGACTTTTAGAGACGTCTCATAATTTTTTTATAACTTGAACCACCACGAAGGCCTAATGCCTAAACACCCCCATTGGATACTGTGGGACTATAGGGGGATACAAGGGAAGGACGCGGCACGGTCTCTAGGGAGGGAACCCGTGTGACTGCAAGGTGCACACATTCTGGCCACGCCTACTACATCCGCCGGGTGGTACCTCCACGTTCGACAGTCAGAGACCGTCTATCCCCTACGATGTGGCCAAAATTAATAGTCTAGTTTATAACAGTCATCAAACTCGTTGAAATTAAAGATCTACCGAGCTTTAAGCAGTAACGACTTTAACAATGTGTATCTTGCGTAGTTTCTCAGAGAGCTTTTATGATTTTATCTACATTCCAAAGCGATATGAGGTAATAAACGTCTTCGCGCCCTTAGCACTTTACCCCCAAGTACAATCTAATCGATAACATTAATATTGCTCCTCATCTTCAAATTAAGTAGTGGTTTCTAAGAGCATTTTTTTGACAACAAAATATAGGTATGGAAGCTTGTCATATTTTATAGAATATTTTCTGAAATAACCTTGTGTAGTTGCTGAAATGGCTTCGTCACACTATTTGATTTTCTCTATCCCTTTCAACGTCTAAGTAGGCCATGGGCAAGGGGAGCCGTTGCGTATTTGCCATGGTTTTGTGTAAAATTTTGAGGATGTTAAGAGTCTCCTTGATTTTGATAGTATTTTCTTTCCTTTAGAAAAGCTGGGTATTTCTACATTTCTACTATTCCGTGTCAGCGTCAGTGCTCTCCTGTTCTGGGACTGTTTTCTTTTTGAATTGTAGGAAATTTCAGGCAGTTATAATAAATGATATAAATCAAATCATGTAGAATTTGATGCAAATATATATCTGTAACATAACCTCAAAATAGAGCGCTGACACGGACCAGTAGAAAACTGTCAAAATCAAATAGGCCATGAAAAAAGTTTTGGGGGCAGGTAGATTTTCACAAAAAGTTCCCTGGCCGATGATCGCTCCCACCCTGCTACCAGACTTTCTGGAATGGTATTTCAAA